TAAGGTGGGACTTAACCTAAAATTTGACTACAAAATGCAATTTTTGTTTTTGGAGAAATCTGAAACTTCAGGCATAGAAGAAAGCCATGACATGAGTTTTTAAGACTAATTTGCTTTATTTTGTTGCCTACGATAAGTTTTCTGCAAGCTAGTAAAAAAATATTTTTGGTTACCATGGCAACGCAACGTAGCATCTTTCAGTCTTGCTCCAATTTGAAGCCCGAAAGTCCATCCAATTCCTAGAATTTCCTCAGTATTTTCAAGAGGAAGCTATATGACCCCTTACATGAAGTATAGCTAGTCGGAGGTGGCGTGAGATTGAAAGCTGGCGTGTTTTCAACTGTGGAGATACTGTGAGAGCGAGATTCGAGTTTTATATCAGCGAAGTTTTTGTCTAAAATGCCAGGAGGGAAGAAGAATACTGTATATAGAAGAAAGCGGAAAGGAAAGCCTTTTACTGGAGTGCAGAGATACGCAAGGAAAGCGAAGAAAATGCCGCGTGCGGATAGAGAAGTCACAAACTCAGCATCGAGTTCCTCGTGTGATGAGGCTCTGTCAGATGCCGAAAGTGCTTCCATCAGTGCTTCGAGACTCAAAATGAGACCAGAAGATTCACCAGATAGTTCATCAAAGATTTCTGATGTAAATGATTTTCAGGGAGAGGGATACAGACTTGTAGACCTCAAGAAATTATATGCCACGTTGTCTGAAGCACATGTGTGCGAGGAAGGTGAGAAAACATAAGTGAACATCTGTTTTACTTTTAACCTTTTCTTTACTGTTCATGTCTCGTAGCATATGCTAGTAACAGTGTGCAGTTTCCATTTTTTTCTCTAAGAATGTTTTTTTACTTCTCTTCAGTACTATCTTTATTGTTTTCATTTATTAAAAATTACAGTTGTAACTGTCTGTTGTGTGGTATGTGGTGAATAAATTTTGTGACTCATATACATGTATGAGAATGCACAAAATAACTTTAGTGTATACTGTTATTATGTTCTAGGGAGTTTAACTCTGAAGGAGAATTCTTCTGGGAGAAATGGGCTAATGGCAGACCTCTCTGTGGAGTGTAG